AGTGGTTTTTAATAATCACTTAATTATCTCAAAAAAAAAAATTTCTCACGATAACATTTGCGTTTATCATCAGCTAACTGATATCCAGTTTTGCATCTGCATCGATAGAATTTGTTTCTTCGTTCCTCACAGATGTGTTCACATCCACCGTTGTTAGCTGCACAAGTATTCCTATCTAAAATATTTTGCTATTATATTCCCACAATAGTCTTCCCTGAATTTACTGCTGCCCTCAATTTCCATTTACTGTTAGGTGCCAAAATAAACAAAAAAAAAAAGCTTTTGGTATAATCGTAACTAAAGTAACACTGTTTCAAACAAATATAAATATTAGTGGTATTTGTAATGACTGCAAAAAAATTGTTCAACAGATTAAAAACCAAAAAACATGTAAATAAAATGAAACTTGACAGGCTATAGGTCAAACGTACTTCAAGACAATTAGTTCAAAATAAAAAAGATAAGTAGAAATATTGGGAAAACAGCAGTATCATATATCTTATTATCTGGCAGAAAAAAAGCTTTAATTACCATAAATAATTCAAGATTTAAATCTTCAGATACTGCTAGACTTTCATTTTGAAAAATTATTGCTTAATTTCACCAACTTAAAGACATTTTTAGAATTTTAACGTTATAAAACTGCTTAACGCTAAAAAGCTACTGAAAACTGAAAAGTTAACATAAATCTAAATATTCAAAAAATGTTAAGTAAATTTTCAGTTTTAATTTCTGATCAGGTTTATTTGTCCTGCATATACTTTGTTATTGGTAACATCCCTGTATCCCAAAACCCTGCACTCTGTATCCTGCATTTTGTATGAAACCCAGTGGTTATAAGGTCCACTAATCTGTATTAAATGTAATTAATTAAGATTACTGTCATTTTTTGCCATATGATACGAATAGTTTACCAAAATATTATTATCATATTTCAAGTTCTTTTCCGTTTTCATCGGTTTATGTAAACAGTAAGAGGAGAAAAAAACAACTGCCCTTAGTGGTCAGAAACATGTAACACACAAATAGATCATTGATTTAGTAAGCTATTTGTTTCATCTATAATTTAATCCTCTAAAGAGCAATTATCGTTGATTGCCGCTTCTGTGTATCTTCTACATTTACACAAAATCTGTTGAGTAAATAAAACACAAAAAAAAAAGATGAAGAAAACTTAGAGCACTTACAAACACATCGTCGGCCATCTGAATGCAGTTGCAGATGTGCTGGACAATCACAGTGATAGCCACCTTCTGTATTTCGACACCAATGTGAACACTTGCCATTTTCAACGTCACATTCATTTATATCTGTTAAAAGACAAGTAATAACAGATGTTTTTAGTTTAAAAAAAATTACTTATAATTTATACCCTATAAGAAATAGAACAAAAAAGAAATAAGGTTTTTTTTTTTTTGCTTGACAACTTACCGATACATTTTTTGTTGTCATAATCCAGCTGAAAACCCGGATAACATCGACAGTAAAATGTACCAATAGTATTCACACAGTCATGATGACAACCACCGTTATCAACCAAACATTCATTAACATCTGCATGAAAAAAAAACATAGATGTAAGCAATTTATTTACACCGAAAAGATATAAATAGTTGTCGTGAAGATAGTCACTGTAAGCAATGAATTACCATATTGACATAGAGATCCTTGAAATCCTTCTGGACAATGACAAAGTTGTTCAGAATCATCGGCAACTGGTATGCATGTACCACCATTATGACATAGTTCCGGTGTACAGTTAGCTGAAAGTATTTTCATAGATTCTTTGTTGTCTTGTTATTAAGTTTAAACTTTTTATTTTTTAAAATAACCTTTAATTTTATGTAAAATTTTTGAGATAAAATTTTTTATTT